ATGAAACCACCCTTAACGCCAAATTTGGCTGACTAAGCTATTAACGGAACGGCACAGTAAGTGAAACATCAAACGAGATAAAGTCCAAAATTTAATTCAGGTTTCAATAAACGACGTATAGGTAGTTGAATACACTGAATTATTTTTGGCTTTTAGCTCGTTTGATGTATCATTTACCGTATCTTTAATTTTTCAACGTGTTTATTTTTTGTTCGCTCGGCCCATGTTTTCGATAGTTCATTTGATTACGCATTGAAAAAAGGAGGGAATATTTGCTAATAAAACCAACTTCCCGCAAATCTTACCTCGCTCGGTGAAGAAAAGTAAGAAAAAAATAGTTTTTCCATTCACTATAAACACAGTTTTTTTTTTATCAAAGAGAACTTTGCAACGCCCAAAAGTGTATAAGGCGTTTATCCATAGCACGGCAGCGGTGTACCAAAGATGATTGAATTCAAATATTTTATTCCGTCAGTGCTGGCCTCAAGACTTAAATAACATGCCCATTTTGCCCCCATGCAACTGAGCTTCCTACATAACAGTGTTGTTTTGTGAGCTTCTGATATTGTGAAAAGTATTTCAAGTGCGTTTGAAGTATGTAAGAGAAATTAGTTAATTTAAAATAACATCTCTAATACAAGCGAGACATCTCTGGTGTGATGAAAACATGGATATGACGCAGCAATTCAACTGTGTGAAAAATGACTTATGTGCAACAATGAAATGGCGGGCGACAGAAATTCGAAAAATATGCAAAGGAATATGATGTGATGTGGCCTTTGACTGCTGAGCATGAGTTCCGACGGCACTTGCACACTGCACTGCACGCGTGCAAGCATCTTCAGCATGCCTCAACGATGATTTACAACGGTAAAATATTTGATTCTCTGCTCCCGCCGGAATGAAGGAAATATTTTTCGAAAATTATTAGTTTTTGTAAAGTTAGACGTTAGCTTTTTTAGTGAAACAATTAAAATTTTTATAAACAGCAAAAGCTGTTGTATTAAAACTTTTGAAAAATTTAAGAAACTCACGCTTTCACTAAATGGTAGTAATGTAAAATGGTAGTGACCATGCAGTGAAATCGTGAGTTTTTTTTAAATTTTTGCAAAAGTTTTAATACGATAGCTTTGGTCGCAAAAAATTTAAATTTTTCAACGAACTGTGCCACCGTGCTAAGGAAAAACGCCGTATGAGCCTTCAGGCGTTGCCAAATTTCCTTCGATAAAATATACGAAATTCCTGGAAGACTTGTGGATTTTTCTCTACCAATTTTTTTACAGGATTTCAATCACGTTTTAATCTATAGTATCTGAACATTTCAAGTGAAAATATCCATAGCTTTCCTCAAAAATTAAAAGTTTTTGAAAGGAAATTTGGCAACTCTCGAATGTTCATACGGCGTTTTTCCTTAGCACGGCAGTGTAGGTCAACCACAAACCGACGGTGAGACTGAAAAAATGCGTATTGCTCGGATTGCGGTGTTTCTAAATCTCCGCTCCTAGTTTATTGTTTGGAAAGGGTGACGAACATAACAAAGCAATCGTATGCAAATCATTTTCACAGAGTATTCTTCATATACAGAGGAGAAATCACAGGAGTTATCAAGAAATAACGTTCAGTATCTTCCGATGAAGAAAATAAAATGTGACAGGAAGTTTGAAATGCAGCAAACCGAGATATGCCTACCTGCAGTTTCACCATCGAAATCCATTTTGAGCTAATGATATTTTGATGAAAAGTCGAAAAACATACTTATTTCTATCGTAATGTTTTCAAATTTACATGTACGGAGTTGTTTTATTTTTTCTAAGGAAAAACTACCAAATAATAATCAAAATATTCGCAGAATTGTCCCCACAAACTTAAAAAAAACAATAAAAATTCAAGCATAATAATATTCATCGATTTTCTTTTTAATTAATAAAATGTGGTGAAAAACATGCAATGTCGTGAAACGTGTCTTGTAACTTATCCCATCCCTCCCGCTTTATGTGAAAGGCATGTTACAGGATATTTCTGCACGAAATGTCTAGGAGATATTCTTGCAAATGCAAAAGAAAATCATATGGAATTGTCTCCAATAACTAAGATCAATTGTACCTCAAGAGGGAGTTTGAAAGAAATTTACAACGTCGCAAACCGAAATATCTGGTAGCTTTTATATCGACTTTTGACTTCAACAATTCAATTCCGTTCAGATAAGCTCCCCTAACAATGGCATCAAATGTCTTTGATTACACGCGGAATATCTGACTAATGCGTATTTCAAGTTGTGAACTTAGTGCGCCTTCAAAAATTAATTCCACTTCCCGCACATCCGCCGAGTTAAAATAGTTGCCTCAAAAGAATCTACATCGATCCGGTCCGATGCCACAGCCCAGCCATAATCAAAGGGGTGTGTCGGTGTGAAGATTGAATTACTCGCACAGAGATTGTACGAATTAATCAGTATCATGAAAATTGCGTCACATAATTATGAGGTTTACCGCAATTTACGACTCTTTACAGTCATTTCAGCGAGTTCGATCGTTGAATTTTGGAAGGGTTCATTTAAACTGTAACGTTGTTCGCAAAAACAAAATAAATCAATTTCATCATAAATTATGTACTAACCTCCGATGGTACCCTCACATTTAAAATTAGTTTTTTAAGAAAGGAAAAAAATGGGGAAAAACAAAAAAAAACATAAAGGAGAATACACAGCAACAAAATCGAGGCATCTGATTCAATCAACCGGGTTTTTTTTTTACAAATCTTGATTTAAGTTTATTTTCAAGCGACAACTAGATCCATTACTTAGAAGTAGAGACATGTAGGACGTTGAGTTACCAAAGAACTAGTTTCACACAAAAAATTCAGAAAACACGAAAATCGCATTTCAAAAATACTTCCAATGTGCTACATTCATTCTCATTCTGTCTGATGGACCGATTACTGAATTAAATAGACAAAACTACAGACAAATATGACACGCTGGAAATATAGCGATTCTATTGGTGGAAATAGGTGGTTGCAATGGACAAAGGAGGTGAGAAATTGTCGCTTGGCTGACATGAGGGCGAAACTACAAATTGAGATGAGCCCTGAAAAGCATTGAATTGTATGGAAGACAGGGTTCATTGCAGAGTGTAGTTACGCTCTTATGTCAGGTAGGCGACTTTATAGACTAACTAACGGCAACTCACGAAAGACCCCACAGTTAATCCATCATTTTCCCCCTCAGTTTATAGGAACTACTCACTTCAACCGAAAGGATCGCTCCCCACTCCCTATGTCTTCTTTGTCTATTGCTTTGTCTATTTTTTCAATAATCAGCCCTCAGCTCTGAGCGTAAAATTAGTTCCAACCGTGGAACTTTTTAATGCTAGAAAAATCTGAGATCTGATACTTTAAATTTTTCTGGGTCTCATCTTTGCCTGAGAAATGACTACGGTCAAAAATTCACGAAAAGTGCGTCAATTATAATTTTTTAACTAAGAATAACCGCTCCAGAGACATGGACTCGCAAGAATCTGAGGATAATCTGATTAGAAACCTCGTCACTAAGAGTTGCACCGACTCGACTTTCCAGTTGCGCACTCAGTGCGCCTTCAAAAATCGATTCCACTTCCCGCACAATCGTCAAGTTGAAATAGTTATCTCCAGCAGAGTTGAAGGCGCGAGAACCATCGAGGTTTAAGTGTACTGCAAAGCAACATTGCATTGTACAGTTTTATTTGACGGTTAATTTTTAAGAACTTGCCTCGGAACATTTTCCTCTGAAGTTTGTGAACTTTTTTAAGTTTTGATGAAAATGCTCTTAATTTTCTCGCTGTAAAACATCCCCGTACACTGGAAAAAAAGAATCTTAAATTTGCCGCCAAGAAGTATTTCTTCTTAAATCAAGAATTTTTCTGGTTAATATAAGCTACTTTCTTGCTTAACCCAAGCATTACTTTTCTTGTATCAAGAAAAAGTCAGCTTAAAGCAAGAAAAAAAAAAAATTCTAGGCGGCAAATTCAAGAATCATCATGCTTGATCCAAGCTACTTTTTTTTCAGTGTAGGGCATATTTTTAACATTGTCATTGTTAAATAGATCGCATTCAGCAGAAGGGAACCAAACCACATCAGCTACTGCCAAATTTAATTGGGCAATTTAATTTTTTCATAAGAGAACGTTGGTGTGGATTCCTTTGCAAATTTAAAAGAATTTGATTCGTAGTATGCAGGAAATTCACTGGAATTTGCACAAAAATCCGCGTAACCATTTTCATGTAGAAAGTTAAATTGCCAAATTAAATTTGGCAATAGCTGCGATGTGGCTTGGTTACTCTCTGCTTGAAGTGGTCCAAGCCAGCAATCAATTTTTCTCCATGTATGAGAGCAACACGTTGCACGTAGGGTTTTTCCAAAAATCCCAATGTAAATATGTCCCTATTACTGCCGTGCTAAGGAAGAATGCCGTATAAACATTCGAGAGTTGCCAAATTTCCGCGGATAAAAATGTATTTTTGACGAAATCCATGTATATTTTTCATCAAAATTTTCAGTTGTTTTAGATTGAATTGCGAGCAAAATCATCTCAAAAATTTGAAGAAAAATATTCACAATTGGACCGCGTTTAGCAGAAAGGAACCAAGTCACATCAGCCATTGCCAAACTTAACTGGGCAATTTAATTTTTTACGAGAGAACTTTTGTGCCGATTCCTATGAAAATTTGAAGGAATTTGCTACGCAACGTGCTGAAAACTTACTGAAATTTGCACAAAAATCCGCACATCCATTTTCACGTAAAAAATGAAACCGCCTAATTAAATTTGGCAATAGCAGATGTGGCTTGATTCCTTTCTGCTTAACGCGGTCCAATTTCGTCAATAAATTTGTATCATACCAGAGGAAATTTTGCAACGCCTGGTGGTTCATACGGCATTTTTCCTTAGTATGGCGGATTGCTTGTATCCACTCATTTACTATGATGGTAATTTATCCACAACTTGGTGATATGTGTGTTTGCAGATCCGTACGAGGTGCTGAACGCGGCGAGCCGGGGGCTGGTGGCCCAGGGCTCCGGGCAGATCCAACTGTGGCAGTTCCTCCTGGAGCTGCTAGCTGACTCGAGCAACGCCTCTTGCATCGTCTGGGAGGGCGCCAGCGGGGAGTTCAAGCTCACCGACCCGGACGAGGTGGCGCGCCGCTGGGGCGAGCGAAAGGCCAAACCCAACATGAACTACGATAAGCTCAGCCGCGCTTTGAGGTGAGCCCCAAATCCCTTCGAGGTTTCACTGAACTACATTGTGAAATTAGGATGTGCTATTTTTCGCTTATCTGTACACACAAAAGCTCAAATGGACTACATTTTGCAACTTGGAACTATAAACTCTTGCCCGATTTAAAAACAATGTATGTGCCGTTAGTTTATTCCTTATGAACATAAGTGTTTTTCCAGAAGAGCCAGAATTCGTAGTTCCAAATTGCAAAATGCAATCCAAATAAGCGCAGGGAGAAGAATGACACTTACGTTGTTTCTAAAATGGACCTCGTAAAGCAGAAAGTAACCGAACCACATCAGCTATTGCCACATTTATGTGGGAAATTCAATTTTTTACGAGAGAGCGTTTATGCGGATTCCTTTGAAAAGTGTAAGGAATTCGCTTTGTACTCTGCAGAAAATTCATAGAAATTTGCACAATAATCCGCACAACCGTTTTCATGTAAAAAATTAAGTTATTAAATTAAGTTTAGCAATATAGCTGATGTAGCTTGGCTCCTCCCTGCCAGTGCAGTCCAAACGAACTGAAATGCAATAAAGAACTAGTATTTCTGGCTCATTTTGGAAACAACGTTAGTGCCATTCTTCTTCCAGTGCTTATATGCGCTTTTGTGTACATCGATGAGCCAAAAAACACTTTCTGATTTCAAAATGGACAGCGTTAAGCAGAGAGGAACCAAGCCACATCTGCTATTGTCAACTTTAATTGAGCTTTTTAATTTTTTACATGAAAATGGTTTTGCGGATTTGTGTGAAAATTTGAGCAAATTTTCTGCATAGTACAAAAGCAAATTCCTTAAAAAATTCAAAAGGACCCGCTCAGACGTTCTCTTGTACAAAATGTAAATGCCCAGTTAAATTTTGCTCCGGATAACTCAAGGAAAAATATTCAAGTGATGAATTTAAGTAATTTTTTAACTACCGAAAATATCATTAAAAAAACTACACGGTTTATGAAAAGTACTGTTCAGAAATGAACATATTTCTGCTAAACAGAACTATGTACATTATGACGTGAGCCCTGTTACGCATACATTCTTACGGGTCTGAGAGCTCATGCCTTCATGCACCATGCACATAGTTCCGTTTGGCAGAAATACGTCCAAATATGCCGTTGGACGTGATACCACTATTCGACCTCCTAGGAGCTCAGTGTGCCTATTCAATTAATTGAAGGCGTTTTTTTCCGTCGCGTCGCTTCACGCTAGATTCCTATTCCTATAGTGGTAACGAGCTGACTCTCATTTGTAACTGTTTCTTCTTCGAAGACCTTTTCGCATAGGATGTCTAAGCTACCGCACAGTGAGCCAATTATTGAAATTGATAGACAAAGCCATAGATAAAGGAGACAAAAGAGATATGGAGAGATCCTATTGGTGAAAGCGGGTGGCTGAAATGGACAAAAGAGGTAGATAATAGACTAACTAACGGCAACCCGCGAGAGACCCGACAGTTAGTCTATCATTTTCTCCCTTTGTCCATAGGAGCCACTCATCTCAACCACTAGGATCGTTCCATACTCCCTATGTCTTCTTTGTCTATAGCTTTGCCCATCCAGTCCGCAGGGGAAAAACGCCTTAAGAGCATTCGAATGTTGCCAAAATTCATACACCTTAACGATTATTTCAAAGGCAATATTTTTACCATACAATCGTAGTTAATTACAACCTGTAATACTTGGGAATGACACTCACTATTACTGCTAATTGTTAAATTTGAAATAACATTGCTACCTTGCCGAGGAAGAACCCCGAATGAGCCTTAAGACGTTGACAAATTTCTTTAGACAAATCACAGATTTTCGGAAAAATTTGTGAACATTTTTCTTCCAATTTTCTAGACAATGTCGTCCGTAATTGAATCTAAAAAGTCGAAAAATTTCAAGGAGAAACATTCTTAAATTGTTTCTTCAAATAAATGTTTTCTGGTAGGAAATTTGGCGACTTTCGAATGTTCTGACGGCGCTTATCCGTTGCACGGCAGTATAGGGTTTTTGAAGGACTATCCACTCTTTGCAAAATTGAACGGCAATGAAAGATTTTGGTTTCCACCTCCAATCCATTTGGACCGCGCTTAGCAGAAAGGAACCAAACCGCACATAAGCTATCACCAACTTTATTTGGGCATTTTCTTTTTTACGAGAGAACGTTTGTGCGGATTCCATAAAAAATTTGAAGGAATTTGATTCGTACTACACAGATTATCACTGCAATGTGCACAAATATTCGCACAACGGTTTCCTGGCAAAAATTAAATTTTCCAATTACATTTAGATGTATTTATGCTAAACGGAGAAAAAAACTTTGTGCGTGGGACCCGAAGTTTAGGTCATGTAGATCTCTGAAGTTTTCGGATTGAGCATCCGAACACTTAAGGTCCAGCTGCTGAGATTTGGATCACACATCTGAAACTTCAGTTCTTACATCTGAAGTACTTCGGTTTTCACATAAGAAAAACTTCGGTTCTCACATCCGAAAAACTTCGGTTCTCACATCTGAAATACTTCAGATGTAAGAACTGAAGTTTCAGATGTGTGATCCGAACCTTGACAGCTAGACCTAGAGTGTTCGGATCCTCAATCTGAAAACTTCAGAGATCAAAATGACCTAAACTTTGGGTCCCACGCACGAGGTTTTTTTCTCCGTGTAAATAGAACTATGTGACAATGGAAAGATGGGGTGTGCTCGTTAGTGCTCGGGTCATAAGAATGAATGAGAATTTTAAAGCGCCAGTGACGTCAGCGGTGACGACTGGGCTCGACGACGACAAGCTCGTCGTCGGGGCGCTTTAACTCATGAGCCCTGTCCACAAGGCTCTTGCCACATGTCCACGGCTCAAGAGTTAGTGCTCAGTTCCTTTTGATTCAATGTCAAATCCCGCTTTTCCATTCTCTCGAAAGGAACTATATCTACTTTTACAATGTTTCTTATGCAGCTCACCACGAGCACATCCCATCTTTCCACTTCCACATAGTTCCTTTTTAGCATAAATACGTCCATTTGGCAACAGGGCCGGATTAAGGGGGGTGGCCACATGGGCCGCGGCCCATGGAGGCAAATCTACAGGGGGCGGCAAATTTTGCAATTTTTTTAAATGTAGGTATAGAAAAAATTCGGATTCAGAAAAAAAAATTACAAACGAGAAAAGGCGACAAAATCTCTAATTTTCTGAGGGTGTAGTAATTTCTACTTTAGTCGTCTTTCAGTGATACAAGAGGCAGCACCTTCAATTAGTCGAATTAAGAGAGAAACCAAACACGCAATTTGGCCTGGAACGGCGCGACTTACCTAGAGGGAAATGATGACGAGGACTTGAGATGAAAAGGAGAAGCCCTCGGCGCGGCGATCGGCATGTAACACATATTAGCGCCTACAAGACTGCACGAATACTTCACGCATTGCATCAAACATGGTGCGGTCATTGCGGACAGCGTGAAACGGATAGCGCCTACAAGAATGCATGAATACCTCACGCATTGCGGCAAACACAGTGCGATCAGCAGGAGACGCATAGCGCCTACAAGACTGCGTGAATACTTCACGCATTGCGTCAAACACAGTGCGGTCTGCGAGGCGCGGCGGCGGAAGTTAAAATCATTAATCCACATTTATGTTTGTTCTTTCATAATTTTTTCGTTCATTTCTTACGAATGGAGGGCCTTGTCCACACAGAGATAGGTTTACGAAACTTAACTTTTGCGCAAAGTTCCGTGAACTTTTGCTAGTAGTGTTGACAGGGCTTTCCCAAAAAATGTGTTCAACACGAGTAAACGCTTCTCATGCATCCCTCCCCCGCTGGCAAGTTCATTTGACGGTTTTCATTGATGTTTCAAAACGAATGAGAAGGGGGCGGCAAAATACTAGCGGCCCATGGGCGGCAAGTAGGTAAATCCGGCCCTGTTTGGAAATAGTTTATGCGGCTTGGTGTCTTTCTTCTTGAAGTGGTTCATTTCTACCTGCTGCAGTCGGTTTTTTAAAAGTTTAAAGTACTTTCTTAAAATAAATAAAAAAAAAAATTCAAAAAGCGGGTAACAAGGCTACAATTTCACATACATAAAACCAAAACGTTTCGGCTGAAAATTCAGCCATCCTCAGTTGGATAAATCAAAATAAAAATGGTTAAAAATCTAAAATAGTACCCGATAAGTGCCTTTCAATTGGGAATGTTGTTATTATGACAGACATTTTCCAGATGCCCGTTTTCGGTGTTTTTCTTGACTATGTTATCAAAATAATAATAACAACATTCCCAATTGAAAGATACTTATCAGGTACTATTTTAGATTTTTAACCATTTTTATTTTGATTTATCCAACTGAGGATGGCTGAATTTTCAGCCGAAACGTATTGGTTTTGTGTATGTGAAATTTTAGCCTTGTTACCCGCTTTTGAAATTGTTTTTTATCGTATATCTTGTCACGGGCTGCAGAGCATCTATCATATTTCATGTACTTTCTTAAAAGTTTCCGGTTATGCATTTTTTAAATTTTCATGATGTTCTGTTCCAGGTATTACTACGACAAGAACATCATGACGAAAGTGCACGGAAAGCGCTACGCCTACCGCTTCGATTTCCACGGTCTCATGGTGGCGTGTCAACAGTCCACAGCACAGGGTGGTTCGATGGGGGGCGGCGGAACCCCCGGAGCCCTTCCCCCCCTCCCGGCCATCCCCACCCCCACCACGGAGCTCTACAAATACCACCAGCAGAGCCCCGCCTCCACCGACCTGACCGCCTTCTACCCTCCGACTTCGACGAGCAAGTTTAGCCCCCTTCCAAACTCCTCGATCTCGCAGGCTATCTACCACACTTCGCCCTCTTATTGGGCGTCCACGGCTAGTCTCTCCTCCATTTATTCCATCCCTCCGCCCCCAAAGTATCCTTCTTACCCTTGAGCCCTTTCTCGGGTCGAACCCACCTAATGCCTACACTGAAAAAAAAAAAAAAAAAAAANACTCTTGAAAACATTGACGAGAAAAAATACTCTTGATTCAATCGGATTTTTGCTTGAATCAAAACAAAATCCGCTTAAATTAAGAGGTTTGGTTCTTGATTTAAGCTAGATTCTGATTGAATCAAGAGTACTTTTTCTTGTCGATGTTTCTAAGAGTTTGGACTTCTGGATCCAATGTGTTTTTTTTTTTTCCCCAGTGTACTTAATAGTGGGGACTGTTAAACAGTGGCGTGGATAAAAATTTTTCAAAATGTTTCAAATTCAAGATTCCTCACCGAAAAAAAAGTGATGTTGATTTAACATCCTGAATGTAAAAAAAGTGTGCAAGAACTTTCAAAATGCTGAATCAACCGCTATAGCAGTTACTTTGGAAATGTCAAGATGTAAAACTAACTGCTGTAGCGGGTAATTCAGTTTTTTGTAAGCTCTCGCACACATTTTTTACATCTAGAATATTAAATCATCATCATTTTTGTTCAGTGCTGAACATTACAAAAATGAGGTTTTTTGGGGAAATTTTTGGGTCGAAAGGGGGCAAGGTCGGGACCCTCTGGACCTCCTGGTTACGCCACTGCTGAGTATTGTTAAAGGATCAGAAAAAAGAAATTACTTGGTAAAAGCGTATAAATGCACGTGAAATATGCAAATTAAGGAATCCTTTCAAAAGTTCTTCAAAGCGAGCGAAATTCACGTAAAAAGGAAAACATCACTGTGCGAATTTTCAAAAGTTTAAAAATCGTAGCTACCTATTTAATACGAAACGCAGAGTGGATTTCACCTCTTGATTGTGACGTTGCTCACCTTTGCCTATTTCCTTTTAAAAAAAACTAATATATGTAATTGTTTCTTTACATTTTCTGAGAATTTTCCTCCATCACTCAAAAAAATACCCAAGAAATGTTGAGATTAGTTTTACTTTAAAAAAATTAAACGTGATCAGAGATGTTTAAATGCTTGAGTGGAGGTACCAATTTTGCGATTTTTTTCAATCGATAATATGAAATAGGTATAAAAAAATCAAGCGTTACGTAAATTTTTTTTGGAAAAATTAAATAAAAGGATAAAAGTACACTGGGCGCATAAAATTTTCAAAGAAAAAGAACCAAAAAAAGGGACTTAGTTGCACTTCGTCATTTTTCTTTGAGCGTTTTTTCCCCCAAATTTGCGAGTACCTACTTGAATTTTTCTCTTTTTTTATTTTTACAATCTGTCAATGCTATTAGAGTGCACTTACTTACCTTGCATGATCCACGACGGACAGACACGTTTGCAATGACTAGATCATAACTTCATGAGCCTCAAAGGCCAAATTCTATGATCCATTCTTTTTTTTAGAATATTATTTTTTTCTCCTTTTTCCCTATTTGCTTCTTCCTGCGGATAGAAGATGTACATAATTTGTAAGACTGTATAATGTTCCTACCAATGTTGTTGTAATTGAATTGTACATTTGTATCACTAATTTCATTGAGTTGATTGTTTTTCCCTCGTAAAAATGATAATAAAAGTTTCTGAAACTTTCTTGCCTCCTCTTTATTAACTGAATACGTTTTAGCATGATTCCGATAGCCTCTATTCCCTTGTATTATTTGCTTCTAGGGTAATTAGACGTAATCGGCAGAAGCCAAATGAAAGTATGTCCAATGAAACATGAGCCCTGAGACCCATAAGAATGTATGCATGCATAACAGGGCTCACGTCATATTGCACACAGTTCCGTTTGACAGAGATACGTCCACTATACCTGCTGCGGCCCGATTATTGAAACTATGTCAGCCTGACACGACAAGACATAGCCCTATCTTAACCATGCAATATATCGCAATTCGATGTCTTACCGGGCTGGTTTAAATTTCAATAATCGGTCCGCAGGCCGAGTCAGGCTTCTCGGTCAAGAATCTGGTATTTTACTTGAACCATTCTTCAAGGTTCCTTCAAGCCAAGCTTCTTCAGGCCTTCTTGTGGCGTACCTACTGGAAACATTCTCTGGTGCGAATAGATTTCAATAATGGAGCGAAGCAGGTACCTGCTCAAGAATGAGGTAGAAAGGTGCCCCTTAAATTGCATCGGGCGAGATTGAAGGAGATTCAACCTTCCTGATTTTAGTTCGTTTATGTCACGTTCACGTACATTCAGTTCCAAAACCTTAAAAGAGTTGGTGCACCATAGTCCAGGCGCCTGGTAGCTAAAAATGAGGCTACCTGGAATTTCGGGTACACAGCGATTTTTTTTGGCTTACCTACTTCATGTTATTTGGGTCGCTGAGACCGAATCTGAAGTTTTCTACCGCGTATCTGGTGAGCATTTTCCGCCATTTTGAAAAAATGGCCTGAAAAGGCATTTTTTGCGGTATTCTTGATATAGCGGCTACGCATGAGAAAAAGTCCCGGATTTAGTTAACATTTTGGATAACTGACATTACTTGGAAGAAAATGGTGTATACATATTCTAGGTTTGCTTAATAATTGAGGAACCTCGGATCTCGGAACTTTGGAACGCTTCGGAACTTGCCTGACCGCGGCGAGCCGGATCCCGCGTTGACGGGTGCGCCGCGAAAACGTGAATGGGCGCGATGTTCACGATCTTCCTCAATTATTAAGCAAACCTAGCATATGTATACACCATTTTCTTCCAAATTATGTCAGCTATTCAAAACATTAACTAAATCTGGGACTTTTTCTCATACGTACCCCTTAATTAAAAAAAAAAAAAACCCGCAAAATAAGGCCTTATCATGTCATATTTTCAAAATGGCGGAAAATGCTCACAAGATACGCAGAAGGAAACTTCAGATTCGGATTCAGCGACCCAATAAACATAAAGTAAGCCAAAAAAAACGCTGTGTACCCAAAATTCGACGAAGACTTACCAGGCGCCTGGACTATTAGCGCCCTTAAACCACGGCCTTAACGGTCGAAACTGCAGGAGCGGCGAAGGAAAACCGAAAAACAACGCGCGCGGGGACGCTACTTCAATATTAAGCTTCCATCGCCTTGCTAAGGCGCAGGGATACAACTATTTTAACTCTCCGGAACGCGTGAGGTATCACGCCTCAATTGAAGGCGTTTTGGAATCTTCTGTATTTACAAGACGAGATTTTCCAAATTGATTTGCATTAGGTATATTGTTGATTTGAGTTCTCTTTCATGTTTGGTTAACTTACTCCTGCTTCTTAATTTTTAATTATTTTGCAAAAATTATCCATTTGCGAAGTACAACCCTGACTTTTACACCCTTAAACTACGGCCTTAACTGTAGAAACTGCAGTAGCGGTACAGGAAAACCGAGAAACCAGCGCACGGGGACGCTAAAATTACTCCTGCTTCTTAATTTTTAATGATTCTCCAAAAATGATCCATTCGCGAAATACAACCCTGACTTTAGCGCCCTTAAACTACGGCCTTAAAGGTCAAAACTGCAGTAGCTGCACATGAAAACCGAAAAACCACGCGCACGGGGACGCTACTTCAATATTTAGCTTCCATCGCCTTGCAAAGGCGCAGGGATACAACTATTTTAACTCTCCGGAACGCGTGAGGTATCACGCCTTAATTGAAGGCGTTTTGGAATCTTCTGTATTTACAAGACAATAATTTCCAAATTGATTTGCATTATATTGTTGATTCAAGTTCCCTTTATTATTTCGTAAAATTACTCCATGTTTCTTAATTTTTAATTATTTTGCAAAAATTATCCATTCGCGAAGTACAACCCTGACTTTTGCGCCCTTAAACTACGGCCTTAACGGTCGAAACTGTAGTAGCGGCACAGGCAAACCGAAAAAACACGCCCGCGTGGACAGCGTGTGTTATGAAGGGATTTAGTGTTGGGAGTATTTCATCATCTTTTGATGTTGTGTTCCTTGCAACTGCCTGAGCATAATTAGGTTTAAAAATAAAACTATTTAGATTTGTTTTAGCTAGGAGCTGACAGAGACATGTACTTTAATATATGGATTGCTTTGTGCGAAAAGGAACCACAAGTATTCCAATATTGCTAAGATCGTACAACTTCTTATAACTTCGTATAAACTGATCATCTAAACAAGTTTTATCTTAACTCCCGATAAATTATACTTTCAAGATGATGATTACCTTTGTAAATTTAATTTTTTGCATGATTTCAGTAATGTTATTGCAGAGAATATAGGTAGCACAATCATAGCAACATCAAATTGCTCTTGGTTCCGTTTCGCAAAATACAATCCATATGCTGTACGTTTTTTGCCAGAGGGAACCACAATTCTTTCAAATGATATCACTGAGCAGCGCAACATTACGTTGATCACCACACAAACACTTGATCGAAATCTCATTCATGCACGGAAAAATTCATTTTTCAGCCCCCGTTTGCTAAAAATTTGCAAATAGGAGGTAGGATTTAAAAGGATTGTTGTGTTCAAGAGATCATACAGAGAACTAAATTGCGAAATAATGAAATTCACCTAGTCCTGAAACCCTCTTCTATAATCCATTTGATTTAAAAAAAAAAAAAAAATCAATGCCCTTGCAAGTTTTTTTAAAAGGCAAGACAGGATAGAGTTTGGAAAAAAAAAGAACAGATAATTTTCTTGAACATGGCGAACTTCATCATCGATTTGAAAGTTTACAAAAACGGACCGTACAAAGAGAAGAACAAAAAAAATCAGAACATAACAATGTGAGAAAAATCAAATCATAATACAAATGCTCTCTTAGAACTGAGAGCATTAGCGGCGGTTTGACCACCTATGCAACATATTCATCTTTGTACAATAACTAAATGCATTTACATCTAAGAAACAGAATAAAAACTGTACAATAATGTACAAAATATATTCACAACAATAATTAGACTACACTGAAGTATAACAAAGACTTCAATAATGTAGTGTCTTAAGAGATCCGTACCTACTATAATTGATACCGCGTATTCATGAAAATAACTTCTACGAACAAATGGGTTTATGACTCCCAAAAACGTTCATGAGAATAAGTATTCACTA